CTGGTACCATAGGTCTCTGAAGGTCTAGATCTCTGTCTGGAACTAGTACCATAGGTCTATGAAGGTCTAGATCTCTGTCTGGAACTGGTACCATAGGTCTCTGAAGGTCTAGATCTCTGTCTGGAACTAGTACCATAGGTCTATGAAGGTCTAGATCTCTGTCTGGAACTGGTACCATAGGTCTCTGAAGGTCTAGATCTCTGTCTGGAACTGGTACCATAGGTCTCTGAAGGCCTGCTTGAGAGTTGTACCGTGTGAGTATTATCCAAACAGCCAGCTGTAGCTGTCATCTACCTTCATCCCACGTTTTGGCCTACTATGTCTAAAATTACTGCAATATGGTCAATTTGAAGTTTTACCTATGGTGGCCATCTTGATTTTTTGGACTCAGTTTGTGATGGAGATCGTTCTCAGCTACCATCACACAAAATTTCATCCTAATCATCATGTCCTAAAATGGATGATTTATTGCAGTTTAGTTGAAAATTGAAACTTTATTGAACTTTTATTTAGCATTCAAAATTTGTTATAGCTTGTTCTTGGCTAGTACTATACTAGTTTTCATATACCATCCCACCAGGACATGTCTCCAGTCCATCACAGGGACACACAGAGACATTCACTGCCACTAAAGGACACTTTAGTCATCAATAAAGCCAACATGATGGTTTTTTGGACTGTAGGAAGAAACCAACACATTTCATTTCTTTGGGTTTATTGCTTTTGAATTTGTTTTATTTGTAATTTTAAAGGAAAGTTAAATTGACATGACTTCACTGTTAGAGGATCATCCGCACTTCTGTTGGTGTTTCAGTGCCGGGGTTGGTAGGACCGGGACCTTCATGGCCCTGGACCGCCTCATGCAGCACATCAGGGAGCACGAGTTTGTGGACATCCTGGGGATGGTGTCTGAGATGAGGTCCCATCGGCTGTCCATGGTCCAGACTGAGGTCAGATGCATCCCACCTGCACACCCCCTCACTTACAGATGAACCTGATTAAAGATGGCTGCCACACAGAACTCCAGCTCAGTGGGCTCACACCCAATCCCATGCTAAAGTTTAGTGTGCTAACAGCTGAGAGTGTTCAGGAAGTGTTGACAACACTTTGTTTGTTTTCAGGAGCAGTATGTCTTCATCCATCAATGTGTCCTCCTCATGTGGCAGAAGAAGAAACAACAATCCATCACGTCTGACATCATCTACGAGAACGCCAGCAAGACATAATGAGACGCCACCACAGGTCAGTCCAACATTTCTTCTTCTGGCTCTGAAATGTTCTGGATGTTCTGCTTAGAGTCGTACACATAGTACATCTGAAAACTGACCTCACCCCTGGAGGCGGTACCTTTTACATCAGACATTAAAACGGAACTGAGCATGTTTATATTACAGGGAGAACACACTGATAAGACCCACTGTCTCTTTTCCTCTATTTAAACCATATGGTTGCAATCATCACACAGTGTGAAATACAAGACTGGACCTGAAATTCAGTTAATCAGTCACAGAATTTCTTTTGGATGGATGGATGGATGGATGGATGGATGGATGGATGGATGGATGGATTGATGGATGGATGGATGGATGGATGGATGGATGTATCATGGATGATGGATGGATGATGGGTGGATGATGCATGGCTGGTTGGATGATGGATGGATGATGGGTGGATGGATGATGGATGGTTGGATGATGGATACATCATACAACCATCCGGTTGTATGATGGATGGCTGGATGGTTGGATGATTGATGGATGATGGATGATGGATTGATGATGATGGGTGGATGATGTATGATGGATGGATGGATGGATGGATGGATGGAAGATGGATGATGGATGGATGATGGATGTATGATGATGGAGGATGGATGATGGATGGATGGATAGATGATGGATGGATGGATGATGGATGTATGATGGATAGATGTATGATGGATGGATGATGATGGATGGATGGATGATGGATGTATGATTGATGGATGTATGATGGATGGATGGATGGATGGATGATGGATGTATGATGGATGGTTGGATGATGGTTGGATGATGGATGGATGATGGATGTATGATGATGGAGGATGGATGATGGATGGATGGATAGATGATGGATGGATGGATGATGGATGTATGATTGATGGATGTATGATGGATGGATGGATGGATGGATGATGGATGTATGATGGATGGTTGGATGATGGTTGGATGATGGATGGATG